GAGAGAGGAAGGAAGGAAGGAAGGAAGGGAGGAAGGAAGGAAGGAAGGAAGGAAGGAAGGAAGGAAGGAAGGAAGGAAGGAAGGAAGGAAGGAAGGGAGGGAAAGAAAGAGAAAGATGGGTTGAGAAACACTGATGTGTGCTGACAGCCCAGGCAGGGACCTCCACTTTCCCCTCTTCTCCTCCTGTCCCTTCAGCCCCAGAGGCAGCAACAGCTTCCTGCTGCCCTAGGGCCTGGGTGTGTCTCAGCAATTCTTATTGGTCTCTTTCATCCTGGCCACCCTTGTATAAACAATCTCTTCATTAAATTCTCTTAAATAGAACCCTAGCATTGTTATAAGCATTTTACGTACATCTCTTTCCTACCAGAATCTTGACTGATTCATTTTGATTTCAAAAAATAATGATGTCTGTTACGGAGGACTAGGGAAACAATAACGATAGGGCACACTGAGAACTCTGATGCTGCAGGCGGAGCTGTAAATCGGTACAACCACTCTGGAAGACAGTCTGGCAGTGTCTGGTCCAGCTGAAGACATGGAAATTCTTCAGCCAAAGTTTCCTCTCCTGGATATTTATCTCCTGGTTTCCTCTTCTAGAGAAATGTGGGCCCAAGTATTTCAGGAGATATGTCATAAGAATGCGTCAACCATCGGCCGGGCATGGTGGCGCACGCCTATAATCTCAGCACTTTGGGAGGCCAAGGCAGGTGGATCACTTGAGGTCAGGAATTTGAGACCAGCCTGGCCAACATGGTGAAACCCCATCTCTACTAAAAACAAAACAAAACAAAACCAAAAAATTAACCAGGCATGTTGACACCCATTTGTAGTCCCAGCTACTCAGGAGGCTGAGTTAGGAGAATTGCTCGAACCCAGGAGGCAGAGGTTACAGTGAGCCAAGATGGGACCACTACACTCCAGCCTGGGTGACAGAGTGAGACCCTGTCTCAATAAAAAGAATGCTTAGGACAAATACCTAATGCATGCGGGGCTTAAAACCCAGATGACAGTTTGACAGGTGCAGCAAACCACCATGGCACATGTATATCTATGTAACAAACCTGCACGTTCAGCACATGTATCCCAGAACTTAAAGTAAAATAAAAAGAAAGAAAGAATGCTTCAGCCAGCATTGTTTGCAACAGCCAAAACCTAGAAACAATCCAGAATTATAGCCATTGCATTATTATTATTATAGCCATACAATGGAATAATATTCAGCAAGAAAAATGAACTTCAGCTGCATACAACAACATGAATGGCTCCCCCAAAAACATAATGTTAAGTGAAAAAGGTAAGGCACAAAAGAATATGTGTGATGAGTTCACTTAGATAAAATTCAAAACAGACCAAACTTAATTATGTTGTTCAGGGATACATACTTAGGAGAGGAAAATTACAAAGAAAAGCAAGGATTCTACCTGGGTTTTCTTACTTTTCTACTTAAATTTCTGACAAGTACCCTTTATGAGTGTCAAGGTCATGAAAATACAAGAATAGACTAAGAAACAGCCATGGATGGATGAAACTATGGAGAAATGATAACTAAATCCAATATGGGATCCTGGAGTGGATCCCAGAACAGAAAGAGAACACTCATGGGAAACTGGCGACATCCATAAAGTCCGTAGTTCAGTAAATAGTGTTGGACCAGTGTCAATCTCTGAGTTTTTATGAACATGCTGTGGTTATGTAAGATGTTTCCATTAGGGGAAGGCAAGTGAAGGGTATGTGAGTATACAAAGGACATACAGGAATTCTGTTTTATTGTTGCAACTCTTATATCAATCTAAAATTATTCAAAATAAAATGATTTTTTAAAAGCAATGATTGTTACTATAAATGAAGAACAGTTACCTCTTGAGGGAATTAATTGGGGAGGGCACATGGAGGGGCTTAGCACTGTTCAATGTCTAGGCCTGGGTGGTGGATACGTGGGTGTTTGTTTTGTAAGTTTAAACTAGACATCTCTGTTTTATGCACTTTTCTGTATATTAGTTATCTCTCAAAATTTTTAACATGTTAAAAATAGACGAAGGCTGGGTGCAGTGGCTCATGCCTGTAATCCCAGGGCTTTGGGAGGCCATGGTGGGTGGATCACCTGAGGTAAGGAGTTCGAGACCAGCCTGACCAACTTGGTGAAACCTCGTCTCTACTAAAAATACAAAAATTAGCTGGGTATGGTGGTAGCCGTCTGTAATCCCAGCTACTTGGGAGGCTGAGGCAGGAGAATCGCTTGAACCTGGGAGGCAGAGGTTGCAGTAAGCAGAGACCATGCCATTGCACTCCAGCCTGGGCAACACAGCGAGACTCAGGCCCCCTCCAAAAAAAAAAAAAAAAGATGAAAATGACTATCAGGCACAGCAGACACGTAGATTAGAAAAACACAGTTGTGAAAAGAGGAAAAAGAAGTAAGGAAAGCAAATATAAATCTTTATCTAGTAAAGAGAGAAAAAAGGGAGGAAGCCAGGAGAGAGGTGGCATTTCCTTTACCTCAGATGTCCAGCAAATTCATACCCATTCCATATATATAGGCCTTTTTACACAAACAAGATGCTACCACACACATTATTCTGCTTCCTGCACAATACATTGTGGGCATCTTCCATGTCAGCACATACAGGGAGCAGGGTGCATTCTTCATCCCACTGCACAGCGTGGCATTGTGCGGTTCCGCCATCATTTATGCCCTTGGTCCCCCATTGATGGATACTCAGGTTGTCTCCTGTGTCTCACGATGACACGCCAGGCTGCTGCTACGCACCCGCTTGCACTTGAGCCAGGCACACTTCAGCCAGCGTTTCCACAGACTCAAGACCCCTAAATGGAACACAGGGTCAAAGTCAGAAAGCTGTGGGCAAGTATTGACTGATGTGATCTGGGATATTTATTTTCTGCTCTGTTGCTGGCATTTATTTATTTTTTACTATTTTTATTATGATAATGTATATATAACATAACATTGGTTGTTTTAACTATGAAATGTACAGTTCATTCAGAGATATTAAATACATGCTTGCTGCTGTGCAACCATCACCACTATCCATCTCCAAGACTTTTTAAATCACCCCAAACAAAACCCTGGACCCGTTAAGCAATAACTCTCCATTTCCCCCTCCCTCCAGCCCTGGTAACCTCTATTCCACTCTCTGTCTCTGTGAATTTGCCTGCTCTATATATTTCATATAAGGAGAACACAAATGGAAAAGTGTTGCATGAGACCCATTGTTTTTTTGGTTTGTTTGTTTAAGACGGATTTTCACTCTTGTCACCCAGGCTGGAGTGCAGTGGCGTAATCTCGGTTCACTGCAACCTCCGCCTCCCAGGTACAAGTGATTCTCCTGCCTCAACATCCTGAGTAGCTGGGATTACAGGCGCACACCACCATGCCTAGCTAATTTTTGTATTTTAGTAGAGATGGGGTTTCACCATGTTGGCCAGGTTGGTCTCGAACTGCTGACCTCAGGTGATGCATCGGCCTTGGTCTCCCAAAGGGCTGGGATTACAGGTGTGAGCCACTGTGCCCGGCCCCCATTGTTTTTTCTCCCAGAACTCACTCCAATTTAGGCACCTGCCTGGCAGAAGGAGCAATGTGGAGCAGCACCGAGGAGGAAAGTGGGGACGTTTCCAGCTTTGAGGTTCAAGGGGTAAGATGCAGAAGAGTGCTTGTTGAGTGAGTTTTCTTCCTGCAAAAAGGGAATCAAAACAAGGGAAACATTCTAAGCCAGAGGGAGGAGGTCGAGAACAGAGTGGGGAGAAGGAGCTGATGAAGGTCTCTAGGGAAAGGCCGGGTGGGTTGCTATGATGCTCAGGTAGGTGCTGAGTAAAGGATGGGGGAGATGGTGCCTTGAATGAGTTTGGGGATCTGAAAGTAGAGGTGACCTGGGCCCCAGCTCCCATCTGCAATCCTCAGCCATGCTAGCAGAGATGGCAGGGGGAGATACGCCGCCACAGGCCACTCTCCTATATGTTTACATCTCCAAAGTAGCACGGAGGAAGAGCTGAATGAGTGTGTGCACGGGAGAAGATCAGAAAAGTGAGCTGGGACCCACACCAGAAAGGCTCTCAGTGCTGCACGGTAAGGAGCAAATGGCGCAGAGAACTCAGCGCTGGTCCACAGACACCTTCACCAGCACCATTGTTGCAGTGAGGGGTCACAGCCTAGCAAGGACTCACTACATAAGCAACCCTAAATACGGTGCCCCGCCCCCCAGGAAGCAAGGAAAGGTTCTTTACTAAGGAAAAGCAAAGATCCCCCAGGAAGGAACGTAAGACAAGAGATCTTAATTGGCTGAAGACCCTCTCAAATGGCAAGTTTATCTTGAATTAGCTAGAATTAATTTTCTACCTTCTGGTGGAAAGGTATGTGTTAGGGAGGGAGAGGGAGGTATTGAGACAAAAACCAAATTCAATCACAGAGTAACTAAAACTGACATTTCTTGTCCACCTGAATTTTACTTTTTTTTTTTGAGACAGAGTCTTGCTCTGTCACCTAGCCTGCAGTGCAGTGGTGCCATCTCGGCTCACTGCAACCTCTGACTCCCGGGTTCAAGTGATTCTCCTGCCTCAGCCTCCTGAGCAGCTGGGATTACAACCTGTGTCACCATATCCAGCTAATTCTCTTTTTTTTTTTTTTTTTTTTTTTTAGTAGAGACGGGGTTTCACCATATTGGCCAGGCTGGTCTTGAACTCCTGTCCTCAGGTGACCTACCCACCTCAGCCTCCCAAAGTGCTGGGATTACAGGCATGAGCCATTGCACCCAGACACCCACCTGAATTTTAGAGACTAACAAACTCAAAACCGCCATGCACATTTTGCATCTTATGTCATTTCCAAGTTGATATATATCGGGGTTGGACCAATTTGTGCTCCCTTAATAAACACATCAGTGTGCCACTTCCCTACACCCACACCCGCATTTGGTGCCAACCTGAAAGGTACGCCTTTATTAAAAAAAAATAAAATAAGTTCACTTCTTTCTGACTGCACAATCGGTTACATCCACCACTCCATGGTATTATGAATTCTGTCCACAACGGCTCTTGGCACAGAAATGGGAGAAGAATATCACAGCAATTTTAATGAATTTGGAACAGCAAGTTCTTGGCTGGGAAAATAGTGTGGCTTATTGAGGGATGTTGTTCCCTTTGGCGTGGTGAACATCATGTTCAAGGCGATATCCAAATGGAAATGACTCTATCAGAAGAAAGCAGGGAAGGGGTGTGGTGGGGTGGCCTACAAAGCTCACTGAGGGCAGAACCCAGATGCTGGGGCCCCTAGAGCCCCAAAGATACTCTGCCTGCCTGGCAGTCAGGCTGTCTTCCTCTTCCTCCTCTTCTCCAACAGACTCATATCCCCACCAACCATTGTCACCATCTCTCAGGCCCCTGGACAGCATCCTGGACATCAGCTCTAAGTCCTCTGTCACCTCTCTAAACATTTACCTCTTTCTTTGCACCAGTGCATAGATTCTCAGGGCTGGAGGGAGACTCACAAATGGTCAAGTTCAACTACACAACAGATGCCAGTTGAAACTCCCTGGTGGCATAACAGTGATGGGGTGCTCACACCTCCCCAGCACAGCCCACTCCATCCCTGAACCCCCTGACCATACAAAGTCCTTTTCCTAAGGACCTAGAAGCTCAAAGGAAAGCCCACATTCTTCCAGGGACACAGAGTGAGTAGGGTCCCTCTTCCACATGACAACCCTCGTTTCTTCGAGGACCGCATCCTACCCCCCAGTATGAGTTCCCCAGGGCTGCTGTACCAAATGGCCACAAGCTTGGTGGTGTCAAACAACAGACATTCCTCCTTCTCACACAGTTCTGAGAAGGAGAGCCATCCAAAATAGAGGTGTGGGCAGGGTTGGTCTCTGGCATTCCCGGCTTGTAGCTGCACCTCTCCAGTGTCTACTTCTGCTTCCACAGTAGCTTCTCCTGTGTCTATGTCTTTTCCTCTTCTGCGTTTAGGACTCACCCAGATAATCCCAAATGATCTCATCTTAAGATCCTTAGCTTAATTGCATCTGCAAGAACTCCTTTTATCTTTTTCTTTCTTTCTTTTTTTTTTTTATTTGAGACGGAGTTTCACCCTGCCGCCCAGGCTGGAGTGCAATGGCACAATCTCAGCTCACTGCAACCTCCATCTCCCAGGTTCAAGCAATTCTCCTGCCTCAGCCTCCCAAGTAGCCGGGATTACAAGCGTGTACTACCATGCCTGGCTAATTTTTGTATTTTTAGTAGAGATGGGGTTTCACCATGTTGGCCAGGCTGGTCTCAAATTCCTGACCTCAGGCTATCTGCCTGCCTTGGCCTCCCAAAGTGCTGGGATTACAGGTTTGAGCCACCGTGCCTGGCCATTCCTTTAAAAAAAAAAAAAAAAAGCTACAGTCACAAGTTCTCAGTGGACATATCTTTTGGGGCAACATCATGCAACTCAATGCACCCCCTAAGTTTTTTATTCTTCCGACAGAATGGTCTCGGTCCTTCTGCCATTCCTCAGATGGTGAAATGTCAAGGCTGCTCTATTCCCATTGGTAATGATGTGATGCACCTAATTGCCCCAAATACCAGCAGACATACCTCCATCTCTCCCACCAAAATGTCACACAAACACTTGCCAAGAGCCAGCTGAAGTTTCAAAACACTCTTTATCAAATTTCCTTGAGCTACAAGGAGCAGCATTAAGAAAAGACAGCACTCAGGCCCACTTAGTTCTGCCATGGACTGTGGTGAGGTTTTCTGCTACTCTGAGCCTCGGTTTCCTTGTCTGAAACATGGGGACAATCATACCCAACACATATATCAATGCTCCAAGCTCTTGAATAATCTCGTCTCACCTTAGGCTTCAGGTTTCTCTGAGCAAAGCCCTTCCCAGTTCAGACTCTCTGTATTGTCCCCACCCCACTGCCTCTGCCCTTTCAAGACCCTTAGCCCCTTCCTGGGCTATAGCTGCTGTAGTGTCCTGGTTACAGTGCTACTGATTGAAGAAACAGAGGCCCAGGCAAGCTCATACTCACAAACAGAGGCTGGTCCAAGACCAGCAAACAAAGCACAGACGGCCTCATGGCCCAATGTAACTGCCTTCACCCCTTCACCAATGCTTCCCAATCTTCTTCACATTATGGCAAACAGAGAATGTGATAAAATCCTTAAGGTTCACTGGGTACACAAATGAAGCTGTTCTGGTCCAAAGGTCCCAGCCTGGGGGCTCCACCCGGGCCAGACCTCCCCAGCCTTTCACCAAGGGCAGAGGGGATCTGTATCCCAGCATCTTTGGAACCCATCTGCCGTCCACCTTCAGGGCAAACACAGTGACCTGAGTGTCTGTGTCACCCAGTCCTCCAGAGGAGGAACTCGATTGGTCCTTTGCCAGCCTTGGACCTGAGTGGGCCCTCCCGGAGAGATTTCCCCAAAATTGACTGAGAGCCAGCGCAACAGAAAGAGTTAAGGAGTCAACTTAAGATGTGAAATTTGCATGTCTACCAGTGCCTACAGTTTCTGAGCTTTTTGTTTTTTGTTGAGACAGGGTCTTGCTCTGTCATCCAGGCTGGAGTGCAGCAACGTGATCATAGCTCACCGCAGCCTCAAACTTCCGAGCTCAAGTGATCCTCCCGCCTCAGGTTCCCAAAGTGCGGTGATGACAGGCATGAGCCACCGTACCTGGCCAGTTGCTAGGATTATCACTGCTGCTCTTCCTTAAGGAAGAAGGCGAGGGAAGTAAATGGCAGAGACATCAAAGACAACGTGCTGGATGCAGAATTCAGACATTGAAGAGGACAAGAGAAGGCGTTTCTTCTTGGTCACTCTCATAACAGTTTCATTGGTCCTGAGGGTGGAGGAGTAGGGAATTACTACCAGAACAAGAAGTTCACAGCTTCTGGTTTTCATAGTATACACCATGCTTAGGATACAGTCATTATGTTGAGCACCCACTAAGCCTTGGGCACTTTGCATGCATTATCCCCTCCCCCATATCAACCTCTCCTAGACCCAATACAGGTCACTGAGGGTACAACCCTGAGCAAGGGAGGCCAGCCCTGCCCTCCGAGAGTTTCGCCTCTCGGGGAGCAGACCAAAAGGAGCAAATAAGCACATTGATAAGGCTGATATGGATTAAATGGCTGTATCATGTATTGTTATCTATATTGTACACTATATATTACTTATTTATATCTATAGTTAGCATCCATGCAGCTAAAAATAATAATATAATAAAGCAGAGCAAGAGTATTGAGAATGCAAGGAATATTATTTTAGGTAAGATAGCAGGAACGACCCCTCTGAGGAAAGGATATTTGAACAGAGATCTAAAGGAGTGGAAGTGGGAGCCAAAGAGAGATCTGCAGGGAGAGCATGCCAGGTGGAGGGAACAGCAAATACAAACGATCAGATTAGAATGTGCAGAAGAATTACTCAAGACAGTTTTTTAAATGCAGATCCCTTGGCCCCTAGACTCAGAGATTCTGGTTCAGTAGATCTGGGAGGGACCCAGGAATCTCCATTTTTATATCTCTCCAGTGATTCCGGTGCAGGTGGTCCAATGACCATATTTTAAGAAAATATAGCTTTACATTTCTCCCGTGGTTTCGATCCTTGATCATTCTCAATGACTCTGTTCTGTGCTTTTACAAAATCGAAAAGCTTTGGGGATTTAAGGTCTACACACCCTGAAGTCAGAGCCTGGTAGATCCTCCCAGCCCTTTCCGATGCATCCATGCGCCCTTCAGCAATGAAGAGAGAAGATGATGCTCAGCGGGGGGATCTGGGGGGAGGGATCTGGGGGCTAGATGGGCTGTAACTGCTGGTGGGTGAAGGGTCTGAATGGTGTGCAAGCCAAATGCTCTGCGCCTCTCCTCAGGGCTCTACTTACCCATCTTGGGGCAAGATAGAGGGATGGCAAATGTTCCTCCATTGGTCTACCGGTCTGGCCCCCTAGCTTCCCCACTGTGCTCTGGAATAATGGCCGAGGCAGTCTGGGCTCTGGAGTCAGAGGGCTGGGTTCAAATCCCAGTTCCACCTCCTCTAAGCCACCTGACATAAGCCAGTGATTAAGCCTCTGAGCTCCAATGAATTCATCCAAAAAATGGAAATAAAGTAGTATCCATACCTTTGAGTTAGTATATGACACATGGAAAAGCTCTTAATAAAACCTCTCATCTGCAAAAGCATTCCAATAAAATTTCATTCTCAATGCGAATGGCGTAACTATTAAATCAAAATAAATTCAGTGTATGCACAAGCCCAGTCTAATATGGTAGCACATTTAACAAAACACAGTCCAACAATCAGAAAGTGACCGGGAGCGATTCTAGTCTTTACTTGGATTCCTGAAAGAATGTCAAAGGATGTCATTACCTAACACAGTTCTTAAAATTCTATTTGCAGCCGGGCGTGGTGGCTCATGCCTGTAATGCCAGCACTTTGGGAGACCGAGGTGGGTGGATCATCTGAGGTCAGGAGTTCGAGACCAGCCTGACCAATATGATGAAACCCTATCTCTACTAAAAATATAAAAATTAGTGGGGTGTGGCAGCATGAGACTGTAGTCCCAGCTACTCTGGAGGCTGAGACAGGAGAATTGCTTGAACTCAGGAGGCGAAGGTTGCAGTGAGCTGAGATCATGCCACTACACTCCAGCCTGGGGAACAGAACGAGACTCTGTCTCAAAAAAACAAATCAACAAAAACAAAAATTATGTCTGCATATCCTTTATTCTCTAATTTTCTCCCCCAACAGCTACCCAGCCACCCCCGAATCCTGCCATTTTCTCTCCCTCAACTCCCAGTCCAAACGCTCTTTAGCTCTTACCATGCCAGCCCTTCACTTTTCCTCTCCCTCCTTCCTGTTCCCACCTGCCTCTCTCTGTTGCGCAGCTTAGCCTTTCAGATACAGTTTTCCGGTCCCCACTTTTCTGCCTCTCCACTCCGTAATAATAATGACTGTCATTACAAATGTGGTGCCTTTAGGGCTATAGGCAGAGAAAGTGGTGATATCAGTGAAACAATGAAGAAAGAGTTTAACCCCCAAGCACACAAGCCCACCCCTCAAAGGCTGATTCTGTGTGCTATGGCGTATGCACGTATATACACACATGCAAGGCACATCTGTGCCCACATGTGTGCCATAGCATATGCATGTGTAAATGCCATGTGATGCAGTGCACACATGTATATGCACACATGCAAGGCCTATTTGTACACATGTGTGCTGTAGCACATGCATGTGTGTGCACACATGCCATAAGCAAATGTAGGTTGCAGCATGTGCACGGGCATGCAAAGACATGTGCAGGCGCATTTGAATGTGTGTGATATAGTGTGCACATATGTGTGTGCACACGCCCTGTGTAAATGGCATGTGCTGTAGTGTAGGCACACATGCCATACAAGCACCAGGGCTCTGTGGTCCAGACCTGGGGCAAACCATGAGTCCCAGGCCAAACAGCAGCCACGCCAGGCCTCCCCACAGTCTGTCCTCCCTCCCACTTGCCTCAAGAAACAAAGACAGTTTATCAAGAACTCCCCAGTAAGCGGTTTTTTTAAGACCTTCAGCAGCAGCCGCCGGGCTGAGCTGAACGTCTCACTTTATTAGTGAGTTTGGCCTTGGGTGTCTGGCTGTTTGATCAATCCTGCCGGGGGTCAGTGATATTTCCTCCCGGCCCCCCCCCCCCCCGCCCCTGCCCCTCTGCCACACCTGATGAACAGCTCGCCCCTGGACCGCTGATCACCTATTGATTTTCCAGCCCGAGGCTACATCCGCCGCCAGCTGCCATCTCCAGCCCTGTCACCGGGACCACTTGGTGACTAACTGATTCTCCGAGCCCCTCCCACCCCCGCCCCTCACTGCACACCCGGCTCCCCGACCCATGGCCCAACCTGCCCTTCCCGCTTTGTCTGTGCCCAGTTCCTACCCTCTCTTTCAGGGCTCAGTGCTGGCACCCAGGACACCAAAATCAAGGTCTTTTCCCAGTGACTCCCTAGCTGACTTTGATGCCCGGCTGCATGACCTTGGACAAGTCACTTTATCTCCTTGTGCCTCAGTTTCCTCATATGTAAAACTGGGGCAATATTGGAACCTACCCATCATGTTTATCAGGCAGCAGTTTCCACAGTGTATTGCGGGTACCCCTGGGGTCTCTGAGACCTTTTCAGGTGGTTCATAAAAGTCAGAATAACGTTGACAGTAATACTAAGATGTTATTTGTGGGGGTTTTTTGCTCTCAATGAAAGCTTTTTAGAACTCCCAGCGGAATATTACAGGCAATACGTGACATGTGATATCCCAAAAACTTGCAGAAGCAGATATAAAAATCGAACTCTCTTCTATTAAGACTGACATTATAGAAATCTGCAAAAATATAAAACAAAGCCACACTTCCTTCTCCTTAAATTTTGTGTGTTGTGAAATGTAGTCATTTTTCACAAGAATATATTATTTATGCTCACATGTAGTGTATTATTGCTATTTTAAATAAATTATAAAGAAATATTATTAAAATTTCTGTTTTGACTCCTAAAATGATCATTAGCGATAGATACAACTCATATGAACAAGAGCTTTGAGAGCCTTTATCATTCTTAGAGTGTAAAGGGTTCCTCAAGCCAAAAAGTTTGAAAACTGATGGTACAAGATGTTAGCACTGTGCCTGGTTCATGTGAGCACTCAGTAAATTGCTATGATTTGGAGGTACCATCATTGGGAGTTAGAGTGATTTCTCCAGTCAAGCTGGGGAGAGGATTTGGGGGTGCAGATTTGGGGAGGTTGCCCCTGATTAGGGACATAGTCCCTTTACCCAAATGGCACAAAGGTGAGATCCCCTCTGCCAGCTCCAAGCAGCCCCCTCCCCTGGCACTCACTGTCAGCTTACAGTGTTCAAAGCCATGGCCAAGGGAAAGGAGCACCTGACTGACCTTGGCCCTAGCAGCTGGGATTGGCTGCACCTCGAGATACACCCCCCTCAAAATTGCTCAGAGGGAGGCAGTTGGTGCAAAGAAGGAAGAGGCTGGAGGAGGAGGTGTAACAATATCTACTCCTCGATTAGCCTTACCATGTATCAGGCATCATTGTAAGCACTTTAGAAAAGTTAAGTCATTCGATCCCTGCAACAATCTTAGATGGTTGTTTAAAAATGTACCCGGGATGATTTTGTTATAATCAGGTATGGGAGGACGATAGACACAGAGTCATCTGCCTGAAAGGAAGATTGTATTACTTACAGTTTCCAAGAGGAGGGGACACCATTCGGGGCCACCTGGGGAAGTGCCAGGTTGGGTCAGGAGGCAGAATGAACAAGGGAAAAGCACAGACAAAAGCCTTTATTGTGGCTTTCATGGGGAAGGAACAGGTGAGGCAAGGTTGGAGGTTTAAATTAAGATTGGCTAGTTTTAATCATCTTAGTTTACAGTCCAGGCTATAGTGGTCATTCCTAATTATCTGGTACGTGGCCCTGGAGTGATTTAGGGCAGGGGGAATATTGGCCTGGTGTTTGAGAGTTTTATAAAGGGGATGTTAGGGGATATGGGCTTCAGACAGGTTGGTGTGCATATGAAAGGCAAGTTTGTAGGCCAGGCACGGTGACTCATGTCTATAATGTCAGCACTTTGGGACGCCGAGACAGGCGGACCACCTGAGATCAGGAGTTCAAGACCAGCCTGGCCAACATGGTGAAACCTTGTCTCCACTAAAAATACAAAAATTAGCCGGGCATGATGGTGGGTGCCTATAATCCTAGCTACTTGGGAGGCTGAGGCAGGAGAATCACTTGAACCCGGAAGGCGGAAGTTGCAGTGAGCCAAGATCGTGCCATTGCATTCCGGCCTGGGCAACAGACCAAGACTCCATTCAAAAAAAAAAAAAAAAAAAGGCAAACTTGCTGGCAAGTTGTTCACTCTAAGAATTAACTAGCCTCCCTAGGGGCAGTCCCTCCCTGGGTTCATCAGACTCCAAGATGTCAAAGCATCATAAAACACACAAAAATAAACTATTACTAACTTTATTGTACAGATGAGGAAATTGAGGTAGGAAGCTAAGGGTCATGCCAAGGTCACACAGTTGGTGAGTGGTGGCAGCAGGACTTGAACCCAGGCACTGCCATTCCACAGGCCAAGCCCTTCACCACCATGCCACATTGCCTTGTGCTAGGCCTGCTTCCAGACCAGGGGCTGCTCACTGGCTGGTCTCCAATGGACGAGCACCTGGAATGAGATGGGGCCAGGCCTTGAGACTGTGGCCTCATGGTCTTAGCACAGATGGGCACAGCTCTGGGATCAAGCTGTAGCTGCAAGCACCATGCCCTGGGGCAAGGCTCCTTGGTAGGTCCCGGGCCTCATGTTCCCAGGGCCACTCCCCAGGTACTCTGGCCACTTAAGCTCGCAGGAGGAACGTCTGCAATGAACAAAAATGCAGAAATGGAGTGACCTGGGACAGTCTGGGCATCCCAGTGGCCCCTCAGATTTTACCATGGCCCATCTGCTCCTCCTGGTAGGCCCTCGGGTCTGCAAGAGCCCTGATGGTGGAGAGGGGGCTGCGCGGGTGGCCCCCTCCTGAGGGCTGGCTTTTGACTCCTCTCCTGCACCCACCCCAACTCCACTCTGAAGGACCCTGGCAAGCCAGGTCAATTATTAGAACTCCATAAAGGTTTGCTGGTGTTATTTGATTTCTGTCGTTGCTTTTTGTTATCATGAACTGGGCCTGTAAAATGGAGAGGTTCATGCCTTTCTTGGTGAAGTGGTCAAGATTTAAAGACGTGGTGGGTACGGTACAGCTTTTTGCAACGTGGACAGAGAAGGAGACGCCGTCACGGGAGGTGCGGGGGCTCTTTTCACTCCGAGGCGTTCAGGCCGGGACTGAGCTGCTGGGGGAGTGCCCGGTGGGCAGGCAGTGAGCTCGCACCGGGCAAGACACGGGTCTGACCCCTCCTCCCTGCACTCACCCCCTCCCTGGGCGCCAACAGCACCGGGAGCAGCGCAAGGGCGTCCTGGCTGCGCAAACGCGGGGCTCCAGCGCCGCCTGCCGGCCGCCGTGTGCAACGCCGACCCGGAGGTCTCGCTGTGTCGGCCTGCGCTGGGGACGCGCGGGACACCCGGTTCCAGGAATCCCGGTGGGGGTCCGGCCTTGTTGGGCGCAAGGAACGCGGCTCTGCAGGACGGGCCGCCGCCGAGGGCATCGGCAAGTTTCGGGGTGTGGACCCTGCCTGCGCCCGCTGCATCCGTTTTGGGCAAGACCGTGGCTTTTTGAGCCTCAGTCACTCCTTGCGGAGGACGAACAGGCTGGGAATTCGTCTTCTCCCACCGCAGCGTCCCTGCAACCTCGTTCTCGACGACGTCCCAGCCTCCCTTCTGGTCCAGTCCCACCCCCAACATTCCTCCTACCCTACTCGCTGGACACTTCTCGCAATTCCAAATCCCGGCGTGTGGCTCATCCACGTGAAAACCCTTCAGAGTTCCTGGTTGTCGCATAAAACGTTGCTTTCATATTGAAACGAACATGGACTCTGGGAGGCCGAGGCTGGATGATCCCCTGGGCCCAGGAGTTGAAGGTTACAGTGAGCCATGATCCCCACTGCACTCCAGCCTGGGCAACAGAGCGAGATTCTATGTAAGAAAAAAAAAAAAAAAAAAAACATTAAAAAGTAAATAACACTAACATGGATCAGACAGAATGAAATTGAGAGAATGCGGAGCTGCCCAGCTCAGAGCCACCAAGCCCCTAGGTATCAGGGGAAGGAGGCCCCCAGAGCTCCTGGCAAGCCAGCCAACAGGAGGCCCATTCTCCCAGGGAAACAGCATTGTCAAGGTGGGCTCTGTCTCCAAATCAAGCTCCAGAAGCCAGGTCAGGAACTGGGACAGCGCACAGGAGGGATGGCTTGTCTGTGCTCCTGCAGGTCTGGGCCTCAGCTGACAGTGATCCAGAAGGCTGGGCCCTGGAAGAGCTGGGCCAGAGGACCCACTTCTGAGATGGCATCATGGACCAGAGCCCATGAGTGGCCTCTCCAGCATCCTGGTATCAGGTAGCTGGCTTGCTCCGGTGGCAGTGTCCCAGCAAGCCAGGCAGGAGCTACATGGCCTTTCATGACCCAGCCTCAGAAGTCACAGCACATCACTTCACACAACCCTGGGTCAAAACAACCAGCAGCCTGGCCAGATTCATGAGAAGGACATAGACCCCACCTCTGCATGGGAGGCATATCAAAGAATCTATGGGGAGGGGGGGAGGCACGGCACCAGTCCATCTATTTTTTTTTTAAAGACAGGGTCTCGCTGTGTTGACCAGGCTGACATGCAGTGGTACAACCAATCACAGCTCACTGCAGCCTCAAACTCCTGGGCTCAAGTGACCTTCCCGCCTCAACCTCATGAGTAGCTAGGACTAGAGACACACATACCACACCCGGCTAATTTTTTAAATTATTATTTGTTGTATAGACAGGGCCTATGTTGCCCAGGCTGATCTCAAACTCCTAGCCTCAAGCCATCCTCTGGCCTCAACCTTCCAAAGTGCTAGGATTATAGGCATGAGTCACCATGCCCAGCTCCATCTAGAAACTATGGTTGTGTGGCCTAGGGAAGGTGTCACCTGGATAAGGTATTGTCTATGTTTCACCTCCAAACTCAGGTGCTTCCTCCGGAAATGGCACTGGTCCCTCCATCCCCACTGGATGAAAGGTGGCCAAGAGAGACCTCCCTGAACCAGCTGCAACAGCTGGGGGCCATGAGAGGATGAGGCCATGGAAAGGGGACACTGCAGGAGATGGTAAAAAAAGCAACATGATTTGCCTCAACTGTCATTTCTTAAATCCAG